TAAAGAATTCTGTAGATTTCAATGAATCCTATGATTACAATATTTTACTCAAGAATGAGTACAGTATATCTTTAACCTAAATTACATGTGTCACACTTGTAGACATAATTATGATAGTTATCATTTGTCATACAATCCATCAATAAAAGTGACTAAATAGTCCCTGTACTCATCTTCTGTTTCTATCTTAATTCTGACAACTCTATGTGACCTTTACTTTGGTAGCAGGTACCTGGATTATGCGCTCACAATAGTGAACATTTGTGCCAAGTTTCATTAAAGCCTCCAGATTCATGTTAATTTTCATGAAAATTTTGGAAATGCATTTTAAAGTAAAATATTGTGAGATGAACAAATCAAACAATTTACATATTGTTATCAGCACTTACAATCCAAGAAAATTACCAAAAAGTGGTCAACATATGCAAAAAACGGAAGACGGACAAAACCCCACCAGTTAAAACCCCACACCTCAAAATTTTATAGAGTGGACAAAACCCCACACCAAAATTTTAAAGAGTGGACAAAACCCCACACCTTCAATTTTACATAGTGGACAAAACCCCAATTTTGAATATTTAAAAAAAAAAAGAACTAGAAGAAACAAACACAAAATCCAAAACAGGATATATAGAAAGGGGTGCATATGGTAGAGATGTTGAAAGTATCTTTGTAATTAAAATTGGTCAATTGTTAAAAAAAAAAAAAAATTAATTAATAATTAATAATTATTATGAGAATTTTTGTATCACATGTGCAGATCCATATTATATGTGTAATTTATTGTATACTGCTGTATTTATATTCATGAACAATTCTGTATTTATTTGACAAAGTTTTTATTCCCGCGTTAACGTCATGTTCTGTTTAGCGTATAGTTAAACGGACAATGTGTCATTTGTTATTTTATAAACCTCCATTTTTGTCTGAAGAAAACTAAACGTCGAAAGCTTAAGAAAAGCGTTTGTTTTTATTGAACTGATTATATATCAATTGTTAAAACAAATTCTTAGCCTTAAATAGTTAACAAATCATGTATCCCTGTCCCTCATAAAACAGTGGCATATGGATCCCAACTATTATACACAGGGAATGGGAAGGCACTTTATTGGAAGTTAACGAGCTGTATATTGGGAGCTGTAGGTTATAGATATATTACAAAACAGTAGGGGTGCCAATTAAGGGTGATATACACAGTGGACTACCAGGCCTGTCATTCAGTAAGCTGTAGATCAATTAAGTCAAAGGATTTATTGAACTTCAAAACTTTTTAGGCTAAAGATGTAGTCAATGAAAAATAAACAAATAAAGAAATATAATTTGACATCCTGATTAAAATTGTTTTTTCCTCAAACAATTAATTCCAGCAAATTTTCATACAATTTGACCCATTTAATTATTACTTACAAGAAACTTGTAAGTAAAGGATATGATTAGGATTCCTGTAACATTCCACATAATTTTACATAAAATTTCATCAAATCGATAGTACTAAATACTTATAATTTTTAATGAAATTTTTAATTGTGTATAATTTATGTATTCAGTAATGAGAAATTCAAGCCTGCATCATGTTTCAATATGAAAACTTCTTATTTACTTCACACTGTATCATATCTTTTTCAAAGAAAAATCTTATTATATAACTAAAGTATTTTGTACATGATTTCATGTAAAGAATGGTACCATTGGTATGACATTCTTTCTTTAACACAGTGTTAATGCATTATCTGGAAACAAGGATTATTTTATAATATTTCATTAGCAATGTTCTTATTTTATTCCAAACATTTCAATGTTCATTCAAATGTAAAATAATTGGAAGAAAAATAAGTCAATACATTTTTTCATTGTGAAACACAAAAAGTAAGCAAATCCATAATTGTCAGGTATATTTCTCATAATTTGTTCAATTATTTTGAGTGTAGGACAAAAGCCCTCCCAGACATACTTAGCCCTCTCGTCCAAAAGGCGGACAAAAGCCCTCCAGTGAAAATGACTGGGTGGACCAATTAAGCCCTCCCTTGAAAATGACTGGGCAGACAAAAGCCCTCCCCTGAAAATAACAGGGCGGATAAAAGCCCTCCCGCAGCAAATACATATATATGTACGTTGAATACTTTTTTTTTTCATTTTTGATGCAGTCAATATATAAAAATTGTAATCCTGAATGTTTTGTTTTCCATTGGCATAAGCATGTTTGTAGAGCATGAGCACATTCCTGACAAGCATCTGAATACTATATGTTATTTAAAATATGAGCCGCGCCATGACAAAACCAACATAATGGGTTTGCGACTAGCATAAAACAGACCAGCCTGCGCATCCGCGCAGTCTGATCAGGATCCATGCTGTTTGCTATCAGTTTCTCTACTTGTTATAGGGTTTGCAAGAGAACAGCATGGATCCTGATCAGACTGTGCGGATGTGCAGGCTGGTCTGGATCCATGCAGGTCGCAAACACACTATGTTGGTTTTGTTGTGATGTGGCTCATATGTAAGTGCATATGAAAGGATTACTCCCATGTGAAGTTAAGATTAATAGAGCAATAAATGATGATCAGAAGTTTAAATCAACTAAAATTCAAAGTCCTAAACATTTATAATGTGCCTTGTAATTAATCAATTACTTTTAAAAGTGACTTTGTTTTTAAAGACATTCTCGTAAAAAGTTACCGCGTTAAACATTTATTAGGTTAATAAATGCAAGGTCAAGGTCACTAAAGATGGTTGTCAAGGTCACTAGAGATTTTGTCCAGAGCATACCTCCTACACATATGGAGGGATTCTAATAAACTTCATACAAATGTTCACCACTATGAGAAGCCGTGACGCGTGCATGAACCAGGGCTGCGTTTCATGGAGAGTCCTAAGTTTATCCTAAATCCTAGGACTTATGACCAACTTTAGGAGAAAAAGTTTTTGCACTTAAGACCGTTTCAAGTAACTGTCCTATCTTTTGTCTTAAACTTAAGACTTATGACCAATTCACTCTCCTGAAAAAAGTTACAAAATGCAATGGCACGCGCTTAATCCCGGATTGGATTTACTATGTAATTGATTATAGCAAGTATAAAAAGTAATGTATTGCCCTCTTATCATGGTGAGTGAAAATATATACCATATTTCACGAAAAACGATAAAATAACCGTTTTATTTAATTTCATAGTAAAAAAATTGTTACAAACCCCCTTGCTTGCTACGCAACTGCAATTGTACAGCGCGCAGTAATATTATTATTTATAGATGCGTCTTGTTTTGCACGCGATATTTGGCGCTACATTGTGACGTCATGTAAACAACTCTTTAAACGTCTGTACAGCGTTAATGACTGAATTAAAGTTATTGGTGTTCGGATTTATTTTGTTACTTAGACCATTATCTATTTTTCTAGATTATAGTTTTCAAAACAAAATTCAACAAAAAGTTGTTTGATTTTGGAGCGGTTTTGACTTAGGACAATCTTAAGATACCCGCAGGGTTCTCACTAGGACTTTAAAACATGGAGTCCATGGACTCCCAACCCTGAAAAAGTTGGAGTCCAAAAGCGCGCCGTAATTAATATGTTTACAGATTAGTCATTCAATGCTCACAGTAGCATTGCTGATATTTTGAATCTTCAAGAGACTTCCAAAGTTTATAGTTATTCAAAAGAAACTCTGAACTACATAGTATAATTATTGTTTTGTTGTTGATATTTATTATGAAATTATTTCATTATAATGCATCAACACATGGAAATCGTTTTTTTTCTCCACTTTTATACCATATCAAATTTTATTCTGGTTAAATAAGTCCACTCTAAAGACAAAAAGTTTATATTTGTAAAAAAAACGTAAATGTATATAGGCAGCGTTTAGCGGAATGAATAGGAAAATCGTGTACAGCTTCAAACAGTGTGTAAGAGATTCATCCGATCGACAATTATTTTAGCAAATATCTTCAAAAGGGGGCAAATTGAAGATCGATATTTAAAGATTTAATGTTGATTAAATAATAAAGGAACAATTCATTCGCATGTTTGGCTTGGAAACCGAGAATTTTTGCGAAATTTTAGGGTTTCTGGCGAACGTGAAATCGCCGATGTTCGGGATCAATTTTCGGATAGAATCTAAATATCAAAGAAAAGCGTATGTGTATTTTGGTTTGTTGTCCTGGCATTTCGGCACAATATCCTAAATTCTTAATAGTCTTATCGAAAGTTTTTGCAAGAATAAAACTAAAGCAAAATTGTGCCTAGAAAATGCCGAAAATATTCGACAATCATTCAAAATTACATTCATTTGTAATTTGAGAAAACAGTCTTTAAACTTGCGGCGTAAATAGTCGATAATTTTCTCCTTTTGTCGGTAAAATTTGCTAATTTCCAATCAACTGTTGATCAAAGATATAAAATTATCACCTCGTGTTATATCTGGTAATTACATGTACATTAGTCTGATCACTATTGCGTAATATTGATCGTAAGCGTTATCGCTGATTGGCTAATCGCTTCACGGGTCGGTGTGCATAGGACCGCCTACCTATAGACTGACACGCGCTGACGCATTTGTGTATTTCTGGTTGTAAACAATCGGTAATGTTTATGCGTCCCCAGGCAAAATTAAGCGTACGTGGAATCCTTGCTCTGAAATATTTGCGTCCAGCTGTAATAAACATGCGTACCGGGACGCCGAAATAAGCGTCCCCGAGAACCCTGGTCTACTAATCTGATAAATCGAATTAGAGATTAAGGTCATGTAGGGATCTTGGCTTAAAATGACAACACAAATAAAACAAAATGTTTGACAGAATTTTCATACAATTTATATATCAATCGAATCCCAAAGTACGAGTTAAATGAGGGCGAATCAGGCTGCATTAATTAACTGGTTTAGAACAGAGATAATTGAATATCATGAAAATATAATTATATTCCTAATGTAACTAATATTTTTATAGTTATTATACTATGCATGCAGTAAGTTTAATAGTAATCTACCTTCAAAAATATCACTTACTTTTCACTATGCGAGTTGTCTTCTATGATGTGTATAATGTCCTTTTGTCTTTGTTTGAAAACAAATTGTTGTTGTAGCCTCGTTTTGAAATTCATCAAGTTTCCATTATTTTTTTTCAGTTTATTTAATTGAAATACTAATATTGTTCCTTTTTATGGTCTAGTATAACAAAAAAATGTTTTTTTTAATACAATGGATGTGAAAAAAATGAATAACAAAATTCGAATGATTATCTTGACCTGAAATTAGAGCCACCTATCGGGTTTATAAATCAGAACAAAGGGAAGTAACTCAATCAAGACTACTATGTTGGATTACACTGAAATCCGACGTCCTATCGACGTAATTCCAACACGTTGATACGACGTCGCAAATGCAACGTTGTATCAACGTTGTATTTAGGATTTTGACGTCATGACATAAATCCAACTTTGATCCAACGTTGAAACAACGTCGAAACAACGTCAGGTGTTTGCTTATCTCCATACATTGTAATGTTAATTTATATTTGATTGATTTTTAAATTACGTCTACAGTGTACCATTCAAACGATTATTTTCGATACACATATCTCATTGATAACTCTTCCATCTTTAAAGATTTACAAATGAAAGTTTAAAGGCTGATGCTACAGTAACAATAACGACAGGTGCGTCGTAGAAACACTTTTAAAAGATACGCAATAAACGTAATTTAAATGAAACGGAGTGCAATTCAAAGCAATTCTGCATTTATTTACATAAAAACATAAAGAATGACCCTATGTTTATAAACTCAGCAAAGAGTGACATAACAGATAAAGCTTACTTGCATACACAGGAAATTAAATGTTTTCATCTTAATTGCTTTATTTATTGTGTCCTGTAAATTTCTGTGTGTCAATACAAAGATTTTGATGCATCTTCACCGCATAAATATCTCTTCTGTCATGAGAAAAATATTACAAATGATAGTTTAAAGTCTGAAGTGCGGATAAACGTACGATACGAAAAAAAAAAACAATAAAAGAAACACGAAACACCTCTATTTATTTCAAACTTAAGCTATTTTGAGCAATAACAATCATTTTCGCAGATTTTGCTTAAGAACCTGCCATTTTTAACCCGTTCAAAATATCTTATGAAGTCAGAAAACAAGTCCGAAATTACCTGATAAAATTAACAATATTTGCATAAAAATACCCCCTCAAGTTTATAAACTACTTATCGTAAGCAGCAAATATTAGATTTTTGTCAGTTCTGCAACTATCTATCATCAATGGCACCATTAATAAGGTGTGTGCAATTCAGAAAGTGATATGTACATTTGTATTTGTTGTTCTTTCTTTATGAGATAGATATTTTTTTTACATTTGAGCGTAGCGAATTATGAATTCGTGGCAATGCAGTGGTTTGGAGACTCGTTTTTCTGACAACATATTGTGCAAAGCTCAAACCCAAGAGAAGTGCCAGGTGCTTGCAAGTCATGGATGTTGCAATAGTCAGTGCAGATTGTCTTTTTATTTAGATGAAATCTGCGACGTTTCGCAAACAGCACAGTTTTCCGAAACCCCGCCCCCCCTGATATAGCAAATGGTCGAATAAACAGTAAACATTAAAAGTTTCTTTTAAACGTGATTAAATGAAGGAGTTCCGCAAAGAAACAATGGCCACTAGAAGCCCGCGATTTCTTAAAGTCTTTATGACTTTTGTAGCGATCTCGTCTGCTAGTAGGTGAATTTCACGTAGTTTCGTTAAAAGTACACTATCTCTCACCCTCATTGACACATACATGTACGTTGCGGCTTACTCCGTGCAACAGCTTGAAGGCTGTCGTCAATTTGAATTTGAAATGCATGATGCTAGCTTTAGAAACAGGGCCGCCAGATTGCAGCATGGTAAAGGCGGAGTGGGGTGGGGCGTTAGCCGCTACGTCGATTTATTCTTTCTGTTTTTATATTATAATTTAATATAATATTAATTGTCCTATGACACAAAAATCATTTTAGTATACTCGGAATATGAGTAATGAAGCAAATGTGATTGATTTGTACTACAGTACATATGTATTTTACCGTTAGTTTACACAGAAGAAATTTTAGTTCTATTGTATAGGAAACTATAAGTTTATAGACACTCTCGAACCCGTTCCTGGAACCAACAAGTACTGAACAATGAGCGAAACAGCTTGTTCCTTAGTGGGTTCGAACATAGCGGCTAGAGATCCTTAGAATACTAGTCCAACATGTGAACCACTCGGTCATACTGCCACGCCATTTGCCTTACGTACAATATTGTTTCCAGCGCAAGATGACTGTACACAGCTAGAGGCACATTATACCCCTGAAATCAATACTTTTTTATTTCCCTTGAAAGGTCTGATATGCGTTTCTAAATATTTTAATATATTTTAGATGTTAAACAACGGCAGAAAGTAGTGTTGAATGTGCAGTTATGTGTTGTAAATGAAGGAAAATGTAAACAAAGCAGTATTTTGACTTCCATACTAATTACCGGTACTACCCCCTATACTTATACCAGTTGCCAAAGACCAAAAGAAGCGAAAGATAGTTAATCTATATTACCAATGAGTTTTTGTTTTGAAACTGTAGTAAGATACTAAAAAATAAAAAGGTTTTGAAAAAAAAAAGATAGCAGTTCATGGGCTTAATGGGCCTTTATATTCTACTGCCAATAGACTGTACATTACATGTTGCGATTATCTGCCCCTTATGGCAGCCACCGTTTATCCCTGCATGATCATAGGAGGCGGCTCAATACGGGTTCGAATAACTGAAGTCTGTGCAACTCTTCATTCATGTCATCATCACTTTAGGTCACTAATGCAAAATATCAACCAATTGTGTCTTTATGGAGAAATTTAAAGGCATCCGAAGTGAAAATGTTGCCTTTGTATGCCGAAATGTATTTCTGAAGTATTTTACAAATTCAGCAGGTTATAGGCACATTTTGCCTCAGAAATAAATATTTTTTTACTTCTTTAGAAAGGGCAAACATTTGTTCTTTAAATTTTAGAGAATATTAGATGCTTATAACATGAAGAAAGTAGCGATAAATGTGAACTTATTTGTAATGAAAGTAGCAAAATGTAAACAAAGTAGTATTTTGACTTCCATACAAAATACTAAATCACTATAACTTATCAATTGAAAAAAAAAACAACAACAAAAAACAACAGATTAAAACAACAACAACAACAACAACAGAAGATGATAAAGATGTTTCAGGCATTTGGCAAATGAGTAACTTTTTGGAAACTATAAAAGTGTACAAAAAATAAAGAGCATTTGAGAAATAAAAGTAAAAGCATTTCTGAGGCATAATCGGCGGCCTTTAAGAAAATGCTTGTTAACATGTACAGTCTTGCCATCGTCAGAATTGTCGGCTTCTCTAGTTTAATCTATTTTTTTCTTGCATCTCATATTACCTATTCTATTACAGGTAGGATCAGTCGAATATAGAAAACTGGCAAATATGCCCCCAGGTTAATATTTGCAAACAAAGTGTGAAATATTATCTCCCATGTTTAATGCATATAAAACTTTCATGTTTTCCAAAAATAAGATAATTTTGTTATTTACAAAGAATGAAAAGTAGAAAACACTGTAGACTCAATTTTTTCCAAAATAAATACATAAGATCTGGCTAAAATTTCATAGCGGACTTCAAAAGTCGAAAACTGATAACCCGATTGGTTTGCGTTACTATAGTTGTATATAACACATTTCAAGATATTCTTGTGAAAATTAGCCTGCTTATCCATAGCAATAAGGTAATGGCATATATTTTGAAAGTCAGCCCTTTGATTAAAGGGCGGACAGCTGTTTGTCCCTTTCTCATGAGAGAAGGGGAATCCTGTGATGCGTTTATGTGGTCGCACGGTCACTTTCCTTCTAACATGTCCTCGATGCATGTATGTGGTCGCATGGTCGAACATCTCTAACATGATAACTTTTGTACGGAACCTTTCTGTTGCAAAGTTTTAATAATTTTTTTAAGATAGCAAATCTGATAAACTCGTAATCATAAAAACATTTAAAACAATTTGTTACTCCTAAATAAAACAAATTAGAGTTTTTACTCATAATTAGGACAAAAATCCTGATAACAACTTTGTAAATAATAATAAGTAGAAAAGCATGATTAGGACATATTAAATATTATTAGGATAATATAAAAATAGGAGGATCTTCAAAAGCATAAATATTAAATAAAACCCATTTTGAACTTTATAACTTCTAAAAAGGTTTCGCTACAAATAAGAATTTCACTTCTCCTAATAAGTTTTCATTTAAAAAAAAAAACAACTTATCATTAGGTTGTGCAAAGTCCTAATTAATTTGAAAGGCCATATAGTATGGTGGCTGATTTGTGCCATTCGCGAAGGAGGGGCGAAATTTAATGAATAAATTTCGGCCCGTTGGGTCGCGGAGCGAAATTTAAGAAATAAAACGGCGGGGTCAAGGGACGAAAACGCTAATTAGCGGGGGCGCGGGGCGAAGTTTAAAAATATTACCCGCTAATAAGCAAAAAGTCGATAATTTACAAGTTAAAATGGCGGGGGCGCGGAGCGAAAACACGCTAATAAGCACGAGCGCTAATTAGCGTGTTTACGCGTCCGCGACCCGCCGTTTAATTTCTTAAATCTTACCTCGTGCCCCCGCGGGACGAAGTTTTATTTTTAGACTTCGCCCGCGCCTCCCCTAATTAGCGTGTTTTCGCTCCGCGCCCCCGCCAATTTTACTTGTTAATTTTCGACTTTTCGCTTGGCGAGGTTACGGGGTGAAAACACGAGTGGCACAAATAAGCCACCATAATATAGCGATTTTACATCTTTACTGATGGAGGATGATTTCTAGTATCCCTCCGTGTGTTTTTATCAATATTTGAAATATTTCTTGAATGTGCCAATCCACTTTAAAAAGCACTTTTCATCTTGAATCGGCAAATGGATCGGGACATTCCTTTGTATTTTGTACAGACATTTACTCAATGTTAATTGTACAATATAATACAAGCTAACTTTATTTTATCATGATAATATATATCTTGCAAATTTAAACGGTAGTGTTTCGACAATTAACGAAAGGGAAAATTGTGCGACATTTAAAGTTAACATTGCGACATTTAACGGCAGAAACTTTTGCGACATTTAGCGGAAATGGTGCGACAGGTGCGAAATTTACAGGCGTTGCGACACATAACGGCGATTAATTAAAGGTCATACCTCACGTGATTTATTAACTCACGCGCACATCATTCTGTACCGTATCGCTTATCTCCCTTGATTAGAAGCTTTATGCGCTATTATAGCTGTTAGTTCGATATGATGAATCAAATATATACCAAATATGATAGAACGAATGGATGATAGAACGAATGTTCACCCTCAACAAATAAGCCTCAACCTCGGCCTCAGTTAACATCACTTGTCTCGGGTTAACATTCTGTTCTATCATTTTCAGTTGGATGTAACATTTATATACTGTTTACATGTAATGCTACAAAACAATTTCAAACATATGCATCCGCTCCAGTATCAATTAGGATAACCAATCTGCTAGAAGAAATGTTATGTCAATAATCTGTTGTCCTTTATTTTTAAATTATCAGATTACAGTGGATACCGCTCCGACGCCGCCGATGCCATATACATCGGTGTCATGAAGTGCATAAGCAGAACTCTACCACTGGACTGTTTCAATTGTTTTAATTTATATCTTTATAGGTACCATAAATGTGTTAAGTAGCATGTAGTATTTTGAAGATCAGATCGACCCAACATTGCTATGGTGATTCAAATTGAAATGATATGGATAATTGTATAACACATAAACATTTAATCTATTTTCTATACTTTTGGTTTATCAACAAAACAACAATTATTATCAGACTTGCCTACACTTCCGTGGAGTCTGAACTGACTCTATCCTACGAAAGACCGGCGGGGACATTTCAACTCCTTAAATTCTCGGGTTCATCTTCAAGAATTCACAGCTTCATAAATTCACGACTTCAATGTAGCCTACAAAAATGATTTTAACTTCATGAGTTCAAGATTTCGAAGCTGAAACAGGAATTTGTGAATTTGAAATGTCCCCACCGGTCTGTCGTACTATTTTGTTAAGTGGACAAATTTAGTTTTAATTTTGATACGGGCAGGTTTAAAAATGGAAACTGGACAAATCTATTGAGATAATTTAGCAGGCTTAGTGTTGAAATGTTATATGTGTTAGAGCTATTTGTATACTATTGTAAAAAATATCACTATACGTTTAACAGATACCATTGTAATTAGATCAATTAAATAATCTAAAAACGGTACAAATAGATACTTAAAGTGATGATCTGTTAACAAATTGAAGAAGTGCTAACGAGAAGCACTTGACGGCATTAAATAAATTTCCGATGACATGAAACATGGAGTAAAAGTTGAGTTAAATGTCAATCAATACCGCGTGATAAATCTCTGCTTACTAATCATACATCAGTATATGATATGAACGCTGTTACAGTCACTTCCTGTCGCAAAGTTACCGATCTCGTCTGCAAACCGTTGTCGTCTGCCGGTGAAGATAATTAGTTAAACTATCGTCAAATGATATTGCTCTTGTTACTTTCATCAATAAATATGCTTTGTCACAACGTTTATATATATATATTTCATCGCGTTCTGTTGCCTTGGTGTTCCGATATTCAATTTCTCCAATTTCTCTATGGTTATAAATGAATATAGTAGCAAACGTCGTTACATTGGATTGCCATATATGAGAATCATAGAAAATTCTGCAAAAGTGAGGTGTATTCTATACTTCATTGGAATTGAACGTGCAGGATTTTCTAGAACGTGAAAGAACGCAAAAGATGAAGAACTAAAGGTAAGTTTCTTTTTCTCCTTTTGTCAACTTTGTGCTTATTTATTTATTTTTTGTATTTTTTCCTTGTTTGTTTGTTTTCATTTCATAGTGTTTTATGTCTTGCTTTAAATGTTTAACAATAATCTTTAAAGGCAATCATTTATTAAATGTTAAGGGTGATAATGGATGTTTTCTTTTTTATTATAAAGAAATGGTACATAAATAGAATACATAGATCTACTCTAATATTTTCAGATGTTGCGCTGACATTTTTTCATATACACTTTCGTATTTTATTTTAACATTTAATTCACCCATTATCTAAAGCTAAACATAAATATTGGATTGCATTTTATCAAATACGTTACTAGTACATATTAACTTTAATTTTGTATTACTACAATTATTATAAATTTGTTGAAAAACTTTTTTTTTCTTTTTCACTGGATTGACCTTTTGTAATGTAGGGGCCAAGGATGACGCCTATAAGAAAACATTTTTTTAAAATACCTTTAAAGAGAGAACAAATACACATACATAGGGAGTTGATCTAAATTCAAACTCTACCACAAAGCATTCAAATTTACCGCTAAACAGTTTCTCACTGGCTAGTTTTCTTTTATTGTACTTACTATACCACGCCCTTAACGAGAAGAATCTAAATTTAAATAAAAAAACAAAACAACAACAACAACAACAACAAACAACAAAAAACATCACATCGGCTTTTCTTCTTTATTTTACACAATACACAATCCACCGCTTTTCTTGCCTTTTATGGATCATATTCGGTTGGAATATTTATATGTATTTCAACGTATACATTGAATGGAAATTGTCAAAAAGTACACTGATTGTATTCTATCATTTTATTTTTCCTATTGAATTAAAATGTTCCGAAATCAGTATCACAATAGTTCATGTTCATTCAACGTTTTCAAATCGGTAAAAAACAAATTAACTCGGTTAAGAATCAATGATCTTTGCAAACTTATTTTTCTTCTGCATAGAAAAAAATAATTTCCTGAGTCAGCTATTGAAAACATAGAAACTTTTCCCGACAAATTAGCCGTTGCACTTTTACAGTTTATCAAAATAATTACTTTATTTTTTTAGATGTTCATAACAACATTTGTATAGAGATAGCCCGCATTTGTATTCTTAGATAATATTAGTTGTAGAAAACTCCTACAGTTAAGGTGAACTTTTGTCAAAGAATATGAGGGCTATTTTCTTTTATCATGTAAACACGCTATTCAAACTTTTATCTAAAAAGGTTCTAAACAGTATGAAAAATATATGCTTTAGTAAAAGAATCGTTTTAACTGTAGGTATATTTTACAAATTAAGTTTAAACTATATCATTATACTTGTTTTTTTAATGTATAGTGCTGGGGACTAATTGTAAAATTTGGTGTATTGCTTATTTTAATATATTATGATATCTGGTTTGATAGAATTTCTGAAATTAAGCAATTATCGATAATTTGCGATCCCCGATATTTTGCAATAATATTATATAATATGCTATACCGATATATTGCATTTTGGTATATACTTTGTATTGCGATATTCGATATATTGCATTTTGGTTTACTTTGCAATATTCGATATACATGTATTGCATTTTGTATATATTGCAATATCCGGTACATTGCATTTGTGTATATATTGCAATATCCGAAATATTGCATTTGGTATATATTGAAATATCCGACATATTACATTTTGATATATATTGCGATATCCCATACATTGCATTTTGGAATATATTGCGATATCCGATATATTGCATTTTGGTATATATTGAATAACCAAAATATTGTATTTCTTTTATATTGCGAAATCCGATTTATTGCATCTTGGTGTACAAGTTAGTCAAAGACAAGCTGCAATTTAATCTGCTGAACATCTACAATTCAGTCGAATATCATTCATTATATAATTTCGTCTTAAAAAATTCTATAATTTTGTCTGATTAAATTCTATAATTATGGCTAATATGTACAGTTAAGTCTGATATTAAACTAATAATATAAAATCTATAAAATATTCAATTTAGTATAAAAACACGATTTACAAGCTAGTTGAATATAAATTTAAAAACTTGTGTAATGAATCGCCAATACCTAGTTCATTATTCAAAAAGTAATTTGAAAAATTACTATTATTATCTTTATTCAAAAAATAAATAATTCCAACACTGAAATGTTTATTTTTGACTGGAAAACAAAACAATTAACAACAATGATGGTAAAAAGTAGGGAAAGATAGAGAAAAGAAAAGATTTGACAAATGTAAATTTTGTTAGTTTTCATTTTGGGAAGAGATAGCTAGAAGGAAATGCTGAATTGACAAGTGCTTTTTAAGGTAAATTTAGGGGCGAAATTCAGACTCATTCAGCCATTCCTCTCTCTAAAATATTTGTTTGTCAACGATATCTGAAAAAAAAATCCCCTGACAAATTAAAAAAAAAAAGTCATATCGTAAATTAGGACGTAGAGGGGCATACCATTTTGAACAGATAAAGGTTTTGCACAACAATTTCGCGATTTTAGCTTTCCCACCCTCCGCAATGCAAGTCTCCCTCTCCATGGGTTCTACCACCATTCCCTTTAAAGGTTGCGATGGTTCATTTTTTCGTATTTTTCTTTTTTCTATCTGTCCTTATCAATGATGTACTTTTAATCGCCATTCTCCTTCGCATATACTTACTGAACCACTGTATGAAGGAGAGCAGTATTGTCATATGTTTATGGTGGCTGATTTGGTACATTGCGCATTGCGTTGTCGATAGCGAAAACGCAACCTATATCGTTATCGCCTTGTCGCTAGCTGGAACACGACAAAACGCCAAACGCCAAACGGCGCTTGTCGCGCTCTCGTCTTATCGTCCTGTCTTTAGCGAAGCACGCCAAACGGCACGTTGTCGTGCAGCGCGTTGTCGCCTGTCGCTTGGCTTATAAGCCTTCCCTCCAATTTGAACCGAGCGACAATGTGACATCGCGACAACACGCCTCACGACAACGCGCCGTTTGACGTACATTGTTAGAGACATGACGACAAGACGAAAGTCCGACAACGCGCCGCGCCGTTTGGCGCTTTGTCCTTACGCCAACACGACGCACAAAAGCGTCCGAAATCAGCCACTTTAGCATTGTCATATGTTAATTGGTTATCAATCAGTTGGCATTTGTAAATAATTTGTCTGCGGAGCATATAGTTTTGGTTCAACTTAGAGAATTCCTGTCATAAGTATGCTTAAGTGTAGAATTGTGTCTAAAGACACATTCCTTTTTATTTTCTTATTGTTTTACCCGTTATTACTGTAAGATCGCCATAGTTTAAAAGAGCACATGGCATTCTACTTAAAATGTTAATTTTGTGATTTGGTTAAAATGTTCAACTTTTAACACATTAAAGTTGTTACAATGGAATGACTGGATATATTTGCATTTTGTTCTACATGTATATATCTGTGTCTGGGATGCGTCTCATCCCCTCTTATCTAATTTCATCCTACCTGATTTCCTCTCCGCTCCGCCCTCATCTCCCTTACCCAACGGTCCCCCGCTCACCTTGAGATATTTTAAAAGAACACATCAACAATCGTACAAAAAAGAATATATTGAATGCTCAATTTAAGTTACAGCATTGTCAGGTGGGCAATAAACATTTCCACATTCATTTCCTGAACTATACCTCAAAATATACCATGCTATTTTGTTGCAATAAGTCTGTAACAATCAATAAAAACTTTATATAGTTTTGTGAGAAGTTAGCAGTTAACAGTGAGCTAAGCAAAAAGGCATTACGATTTATAAAGGGAAATAAATGATCTGCTGTTATGCTCAGCTGGGTAAGCAATCTAGCAAAGCATTCCAAAATAAAGTGTAGAAATGCTTTGCTGGTATGCTCAGCTTGGTAATCAACCTAGCAGGCCATTCCTAAATAGAATGTAAAAATGCTCTGCTGTTATACTCAGCTGGCTAGGCAATCTAGCGGGGCATTCTAAAATATAGCGTAAAATGCTCTGCTGGTATGCTCAGCTGGCTAAGCAATCTAGCGGGGCATTCCAAAATATAGTGCAAAAAAATGCTTTGCTGGTATGCTCAGCTGGCTAAGCAATCAAGCGGGACATTCCAAAATATAGTGTACAAAATGATCTGCTGGTATGCTCAGCTGGCTAAGCTATCTAGCAGGGCATTCCAAAATATAGTGTAAAAATACTCTGCTGGTCTGCTCAGCTGGCTAAGCAATCAAGCGAGACATTCCAAAATATAGTGTACAAAATGATCTGCTGGTATGCTCAGCTGGCTAAGCAATCTAGCAGGGCATTCCTAAATATGGCGTAAAAATACTCTGCTGTTATACCTAGCTGGCTAGGCAATCTAGCGGGGCATACCAAAATAAAGTGTAAAAAGCTCTGCTGTTATGCTCAGCTGGCTAAGCAATCTAGCAGGGTATTCCAAAATATAGTGTAAAATACTCTGCTGGTCTGCTCAGCTGTTTAAGCAATCTAGCGGTACATTCCAAAATAAAGTGTAAAAAGCTCTGCTGTAATGCTCAGCTGGCTAGGCAATCTAGCAGGGTATTCCAAAATATAGTGTAAAAATGCTGTTATACTCAGCTGGCTAAGCAATCTAGCGGGACATTCCTAAATATAGTGTAAAAATGCTTAGCTGTTACGCTCAGCTGGCTAAGCAATCTAGCGGGACATTCCATAATATAGTGTAAAAATGCTCTGCTGTTATGATCAGCTGGCTAAGCAATTTAGCGGGGCATTCCAAAATAGAATGTAAAAATGCTCTGCTGTTATGCTCAGCTGGCTAAGCAATCAAGCGGGGCATTCCAAAATACAGTGTAAAAATACTCTGCTGGTATGCTCAGATGGCTAAGCAATCTAGCGGGACATTCCAAAATAAAGTGTAAAAAGCTCTGCTGTAATGCTCAGCTGGCTAAGCAATCAAGCGGGGCATTCCAAAAGACAGTGTAAAAATACTCTGCTATTATGCTCAGCT